ACCACGAAAGTAACAGTAATATAATCAAATGTAATGTGTGTATACAGTATATAGAAAATAATGAAACAAGATACAGGCATTTCTGCATTAGGCAAACATCAGCCAGTACATCTTCATAAGGTGCAATGTCTCATATCAGTAGTTCAGCATTCTCAAAACAATTCCTTTTTTCTGCATGTGAATCCCTCAACTGGTTACGTCAGTGAAACCTTTCTCCTTCTGTATGTGCTGTAATACGCATAAATCTGATTTTGTCAGCTTTTGTTTTTCAGCTAACACATCCTCATGCCACATTAACCAAGTGAATCAACTGAACCCTGAATTGAGAGGGAATAGGGCACATTACTGTTTTTCGACAGTTTGATGAGTCACAATACGACAGGAAATAATAACCATTCTTTCACTCGGTCATCCACATAATCAAGAAATACCTTCCAGTTATGCTTCAGAATTAAATAAAGTGCAAATAAATAATCTGACACTTTACTCAGAACAGGTGACATATAATTAGTAAACTTTTTAGATAAAAAACACAAAAAAAACAAGTTATTTCAGGATAAGGAATTACTGGGACAGTTTTTAATGTTTGTTTTCTGTGCAGAGATGAGGAATGGAATACTGTACAGTATATGTTACTTTGCATTGCATTTTTCTATTCTACCAACGCCTCTGCTAATTTGAGTGGGCCTACATCATTACAGCAGTTTCCCCTTTTTTTAAGAATTGCAGGGAGTTAGTGCTTCTGGCTAACAGCAACTAAAACAGCAGTAGAAACCTGTGGTGAGACAGCGTCAAGCCTGAGGAAACACACCATACTGTACAGTATATGACTGCTATTTCCTTAGACTGTACATGGGACAGTGTATTGAGCTATGCAAAAGTACAAGAAGACAAACCTTTATTTTAAGATTAAACAGTTTCACTGTCCTTATTGCAGCATTATTTGCTTCACATGCTTTGCTTAAAAATAATTTCTTTTCACAACACAAAATTATGTTAATTATGTAAAGCAAAAAAAAAAACCTGTACCTCAGCCAAGATTTGCACAAGGATAGCAGCTGTTTATTAAGTGTAACATTGCAAGCGCTGCACTTACAAACATTTCCTCTGCGGCTGACAGTTTAATCAGAATTCTTAGGAACACAAGAAATCAGATATGCTTAAACAAGGGAACAAGGTGACTCCTAAGAACTTTCTGCTACAGTTCTGATTACTATGTACTCTGAAGGCCGTGGAAGTTACAGTATTAGTTCTTTTATTCAATGTGGACAATGCTGGAATTGAAAATAACAATTATTTTTTCCATATTCCTCGATGAGGATTAGCTGGCTGTCAACCAAACACATGTCACTTGTACGGCTCTCCTACCAGCAAGGAAATTAGTGCTGTCCAGTGATCTGCTCCATTTTTACACTGGGTCGTGCAGAGCAAACAGCTGGACGAGCATCAGATGGAGGAGTGGTGTGGCTCTCGCTAATAAATGCAGTGTCCAGCTTTCATGACCTTCCTGCTACTGCTGGGGACTACACTGCTAGTCTGCTAATAATGTAGCCCAAAACGGAACCAGTGATTTCAGGACTGTAAGTGCTCCATTAGAATGAGCACAATCAATTGCTGAGCTACTTGGGAATTGCGTTAATACTATTATATAGAAAATGAGTAAATGATACTTTGCAGAACATTTTGGGGAAAGCCACCTAGTTACTGTAGTGCATCACCTGAATAACAATTGCCTTACATCTGCATTAAAAACAGCTGTGCACAAATGAACCTCTGTGACACCAGCCACTATGTGCTGCCAATTACTTTAAAGCAGTTCCTTGGCTGGCAGTGAAGTGAATGGAGCCCTTTGTAAGATAATGCTAGACGATACTCTTGCTTAGTTGTAGCTATGTAAAAAGGACACCTGTCTGAATAACATCAATGCAAAGGCCCAACTGAGCCAACACACATACTGGAATAGGATAACATTGTCCTTACAAAATTACCTGTTGGATGCTGAACTGTTTTATTGTGACACGAGTGATAATTCTGGGACAGTTAGATTTATTAACATTTACATTAATTATTGTCCATATGATATCTATTGGATTATTTAGCTGCTGGAAATTGTATTGGTGTTCAATGTTCAGTGTGGGTATTTGTTTTTTCTTCAGAAAATCGGCAGATGTTACATTCCTGAGCCACATCTTCTCAGAGAGGAGGTGAGAGTAAACAGAAATAAAGCTTCTCCTTTAAATAGTTACATAATCCTTCACAAAGAAGCACATAATTATAACGTATTTGCAATTTTCTGTGACTGTGTATAATAAATATACCATCATCTTCATTCAAAACCGTTACTACTGTCAGACATATCTTGTATTTACAAAGGTTCGAGCTAATTAGTTTAAAAACAATGCAGACTTTAAATAGACACATAAGACATGCACATGGGTTCTAAAAAATATATACATTTTCAATGACATATTGATGTGTTAGAGCCTTATTTTCTCCTTTTTTTCAAACACTAACAAACATCCATTGGTTTAAGATACTGTAGCCAATAACTGTCTTGATATCAATGTCTAAATATTAAATATTATAATAAACTTTCTCCTGTCAGTCTGAAACAGTGGGGAATTTATTGCAGAGGGCAAACATCTGATTATATTCTGTTACATATTTTCAATGAGAGGGCTGCTTAATGCTTTTAAAACAGGGGTCTGAGTTGAGGAAAAAGAGGGGGGGTATCCCCACAACATATCGCCTTCTGCTCATTTCTATTATTTATAGGTCCAGGACTGCATATTAGAAAATCATTTTTTATCTATGAAGATTTCTGTGGTTGATCGCATCAATTTAATTTCACCTTCTCAATTCTGCAGATTGCAAGTATGGGTAATCTGTATTACAAGAAACAGACAACAGTGAACTATGAGGTACTGTATCTAAAGCTGGAGAAAGATATGTGAGGTTCTGTACAATGTTGATTCTTCTAATTGCCAAGGACAGATTAAACTATCGACCGTCTTTCTGTCATGGTTTACACTGGTAAAATACACAAATAAAGATACATATAGATCAAATACAAATATAGATAAAATAAACACCGACTTGCGAGTAGTGTCCTTTTTATCACAAACATGTAGCTTAAAAGGTTTTTCATCCCATCTGCAAAACAGGGAAACATGTATTAGGAAGAACAAAATGTTTTGCTAGTTCAATAGAACAACGTATAATGAAAAATATGTTTAATAGACGTACATTAAAATGAAATTTCAAAATAGGTTTATTCTTAATGTCTTACTACGTAGTTCTCTTTTTTTTCCTGGGGAAACTGTAATTGAAATTCATAGGAGACTGAAAATGTTCTCAATTAACTTTTCTACTAGAATGATCATCTCTTCACTAACTGTACAACAAGAAGTCCTATCCTTAAGCTGATGAGAAAAAAAAAAACCTTTTGTTGCTGAATAAAAAAGACATTTGCATTGTGTTACTTGTATAGTACATTGTATTCAAAAAGCACCTTTTACGCAGTTCTGTTAACATTCCTTTTAGCTACATTAACATATTCCCATTCTTGCAGACAAAATACTCAAACAGATAAAGTACTTCAGCTGCTTTTCATATTTCCCTAAAGGACTTCACCATGCTTTAATTTAGTATTTTAATTTTCTTCGCTAGAAGGTTATTTGGGAGCGCTCAGACACGATGCTAAGAATCCATCTTTGATGCAGCAGCCAGATGAAACGTCATACATCACAACCAAGCCTTCAAAGGTAGAGTGTCAGTCTCCAGTAGGAATATATTTCTGGAGAGAACAAGAAATTCAGAACAGGGAACCCTCAGCTCAGTCCACAATAGCGGAACAGTTACTTAGAAGGAATAGTCATTGAATCAAACAATTTCAAAACTATCGGATTTACGTATTTCGTTTGGATTAGGAGTGTACAGAAATTGGTAACATTCAGATGCACAGTATATATTTATTTCAAAAACTAACCCATCCATCCAATCTCAACCAATTAACCTATCAGCATGTT